TGTGGTGTATGCCACACCACAGCTCCCTTGGGAGAGTGACGGGTCACTCTCATGTAACTCCGTTACAGTGCACGACATGCCCGTTGCAAATTTATCCAGCTACACAGACCAAAAAGATGATAATTTGGTGTCTTGGGTCGAAGGGTCGTGAAATACGGTGCTGTAAACTCGAACAAGATTTGAATTGAGCTCATCGAGGCTCTGTCGAATCAAGCGCGACACTTAAAGTCGACATTAAGCTGACCAAGAAACCGTCTTTTACGTACTTATTCGGTTGATTCATGCATTTCTATTATACCGTAGAAAAAGGTATGATCGGCTATGCCGCAGTAAGATCATGAGCTAATGAAACTGATGCATGAAGTGATGACCTGATTGGGGGGATCTGATGTTAATTTGTTGCAATTAGGGCAAAGAACAATTGACAAAATCTGTGCTAAAGTAGTTATGTCGATGAATGCAATTAAAATTCTGTCGTTTCTATAAAGGTGGTTGAAAATCAATGGAACGATTGGCTATTAACGAAGGTAGTAGCCAATTTTTTACATTTCCCACAGCAGAATTATCATTGTGCTAAGGATTTCTTCTCAGCTTCTTCCGAGCAGGTGGCCCCTTCTGTTGCAACTGGTTAGTATGCACTGCCGCGACAGAATCTTGCTTAAGAGTTTCAAGCCCACCCGCTTGAAAACGAGTCGGCACATCTCGCTTTATCACGTCTTCCTTTGAAGGTTTGTATTCCTCATTCTGCTTAGAATACAATGTGTCAAATTCGTGCCATCTTAATAACAGTGCTTCATCATAAGCGCCATGAGACAAGAAAATATCCCAATACTTGGTTGGAGTCATTCCAGCAACTTTTATCAGAGTCGAGGGGTCGGAAATGTAAACAAGCATACCGGTCGCTAGTTTTTTTAACGAAGGTCCTTAACCATTGAAACAGCTCCACCATCTTTTCAACTGAATTTACTGGACTTAACATGTTAAATATTTCTTCGTCGTTGAACGTCTCTTGCGATCGGTAATGATCGATATACGCGATACACTGCATAACATCTGGACTTTTAGGCGTAAAATCTCCTGATGAAAATACTCTGAGAAAAACGTCTTGAGGCTTATATCCTTTTGAGAAATTATACCACCTATACCACATTGCATGTAGATTTTTCAAGTGGTTCCCGAACCCGAATTCAACATTCTTGTTTAATATTTGATAGTGGGCGTCTGTAAGAAGCATTTCCGCCGTTTTGTCGCTGAATTTTTCTTTTAGAAGAGCCAAAAACGAGTCATATTTAAAAGGATTATCGTCATAATCTGGACGCCAAAGATCCCAATACATCTCGATATACCGCAGCCACAAAGTAAGCACATCTTCATCGCCAACCGGACCAAGCTCGATTTTGACATCTAAAATGTGAAATATGTCACTCGGCGTTATAAGATATTTGAGCCACGTCTGAAGCACCAACTCCTTAGTATCCAACCTCGTCACCAAGTACTTCTGCATTTGTTCAGCTAATTTTCTTATGGTCATGTCGTGGCTTTGGCGAAGCATTTCGATAAGTGACACAACTTGTCGATGTTGCGAATCGAGTTTTTCAACTGCTGACGACATCTCCATCCCACCTGTCTGTAAGTCATACTCGC